GGGGGGGGGGGGGGCGGAAAAAAAAATTGGGGGTTTTTTTTTGGGGAAAAAATTTTTAAAAAAGAGAAAAAAAAAAAAAAAAAAAAAAAAAAAGAGCAGCATGTAGCCAAAAATAATCAGCATGCATAAATGTACATAGCATGGTATCCCAAATGTTTGTTTTATATGAAACCAAATGGTAATCAGTTTACAGTACTTCCAGCAATTTAGTTCCTGCTCGGAGCGGCCATTGCTAACCAGGAACAATGAGTAAGGAGAGATTCAGTTACAGCATCCAGGGGTTGTAGCAACTTGAGCCTGCAGACTAGAATCTGCCTAGTGATGGCTGACATGATCTAATGTGCTGACAACCGCCATTGGTCTATGCTAATCTACCTCCAAATCCATTCTGAAATCAGACCAATGGGTCCTTTGACCATGGCGACTGAAACTCTAGGCAAGTCACTCTGTGGTAACTCAACTAGATGAAACGTGACACTCTAATTTAGAACTGCTCTGGTTTTTACACTGATCAAAGAAATTCAACCTTGGTTTTGAGAGGAAACTACTTTGGGTCAACGAGGAGTCTATCAGCACAATGACGTGATGTCATGCCTAACACTGAGATCAAATAACGCCTGAAGTTCCCCTATCACAAGACTGAAGAGTAAAGACATAATTCAATATCAACACAGGCACAGGCAGCCGCATCACTGAGAGCAGAGAGCTAAATGAACCGGGACACACACAAAATGTGTTTTAAGCATATGAGATAGCACAGATGTAAAACAATTAACGTATATTCTTATTATGTTGAAGCCATTTTATGACAAAATCTCAGTTGCTTAAATCACAAATTAACTGTAATTAATTAGATTTCTTAGACCGCTATGCCCAGTTTTACTTGTCACCTTCAGGCCTGATTACTGCCAAACTGTAAAATCACAAAATCACTTCAATATAATCTGTCACACAACATGAAGCCATCAACAACACTTCATGCCCCAATCTAAGGATTACAAAGTTGATTCGAATCAACTTTCTCCATTTGTGGATAATAAAAAGCCATTATCCACAAATGGAGAAAACAGAACAGTAGGCTACTAAATGTTCTCGGGAGTGGCCTCAGTTGCATCACTTAAATCTGCAGTATGTAACTTTTATAAAGACATGTTTTTTACTTACTTGTTAAAATTGTCAACATGCCGCAAGAGTACTAGACAAATGATCTGTCTGAAGAAATACACTGCTTCCCACCAATACAACCAATCAGAGTAAGTGTGACGGTCTTAGTACTGTCAATCAATCTTGTACACACTACACAATGTGATACAAATCACCGTTCAAGGAAAAACTGTTTATCTGCCGTCATGGATTGCTCTGCTAACTAGCCTAGCATTCATGGCAGGCTCTGCTGTTGTGAAGACGCTTTAGCATAGCAGGGAGTGAGGGGTGTGGAGCAGCAACCACAAGGATGATTAACAGCGCTAAGACTCTCCTCCTGACTGTTATTGGTCATTTCTAGTTAGAACTGGGAGCACTGGGAGAAGGAAGATGAGCTTGATTTTTTTCACAGATTATCTGTCTCATACCATAGTGTCCCGACATAGTGACAGTTTTAACAAATATGTAAAAAAGAAAACCACTACACCCCAAAACAAGAATCACTGTTGACCAAAAGGAATACACAGGCCCATCACAGATTAGCCACAAAGCATCTTAACATTGTCCGAGAATTTTCCGGACAATTTTCAGTGGACTGCCAAGACAAAATGGAAATACGTTGTAAGGTATGAATTCCCTACATGTGGCATAAAACTAACAAAGCAATTCAGAGAAAGAACATCACACTGACAGTCAAACGTAGTGGCGGAAGTGTGATGGTCTTAGGCTAGACAAATTGTTATAATTCATGGAGCCATGAATTTTGCTTCTTACAATAAAATCCTAAAGGAGAAAGTTTCCCCATCCTTAAGCTAAAGAGTTGTTAGTTGAGTTGCTCAACAAATTTTATGTGAAAATTTTGGATTGACATCACCAAAGCCTGGACTTAACTCTGACAGAGATGCTGAGGTGTGAACTTGAAAAGGTCAATCATGCTGGAAAACCCTCCAATATTATTTAAATAAAAGAGTTGGCCAAACGTCATCCATACTGACTCCTTCTCAGTTAATGCCAGTGCTGGTTGGCAGTTGGTAAAGCCAATGGGCATTTACTTTGTCTCATAGACGATGTCCCATTCCAAAATCCGCCATTCCCCTCTGGTGCAGGTGCATTCGCAGGCCCACACTGTGAATCAGTCTTATCTGTTTTATTTTAATGGAAAGATGCATCTGTTCACTGTAACTTATGCATAATAACTGCAAAGTGCATTACTCATAATAACCATGCACCCCTTACCAATCATCAATTTCGGCTTCATTATGAATGTAAGCAGGTCAGCATGTGTCAGCAAAAGGGTCAGCATGACCATCAGCAAAGGCACTGAAGGTCAGTCTTTGTTCATTCAATCAGCTTGTTGGGAGTCTGTGCAATGTTTCTGCAAGACTAGCAAGATGACCTTGGAGCAGGGATTCAATGAATCTAAGGATTTTAGAGAGGAAACTATTTTAGAAATGGGTCTGTGTTTTCTTACCTTGTCTGTTGGAGACATAACGGCCATTAGCTGCTATCAAAACCACTTGTGGGTGGCTCTCCTCCAAGTCAAACAGTTCATCTTTGCCTGGCTTGGAGCATCGTCCTGACCTCAGAGTCCCTGTGGGGCCCATGGGAGACAAATACTTTCCCTCACAGTCTTTAAAGGCAAGCTTCCCACACTTCAGCTCCAGTGTGTAGGCTGTGGCCCTCCCATTCTCTGTCAGCAGCTTTCCATCACTGCTGAGGAAGCGGCTGTCGCAGGTCTTTAAGCAGTACTTCCCGTCCTGGTAGACGAGAGTCAGGAGTGCCTCGACACCCCATGGAATGTTCCTGTCCACGGCGATTTCCCCATCCTCCGTAGAGAGGTGGGCGTAGCGCTTACGGGCGACAGACAGCAGGTTGGCTTGCGGATGCAGAGCCAGGTGCATTGCCCAAAGCTCAGCATCTGTGATTATCTGAGCGAAACAAGACAGGTAGTCCCGAGAGCCACCGAAGAAGCGGAGGTATTGCTCAGACTGGAGGGCCCAGCGGCCGTCTGACTGCGGTACGATGAGGAAGCGGCAGTCGGAGTTATGGCCATCTGCCTCGCAGGTGACTTTGCCATCCTTGTCAGAAGCCAAGTAGCGTCCCAGATGACTGCGTAAATACACAACTTGGGTCTCCTGGGAGTCTTGCTCTAGAGTCCAGATCTGCTTCTTCTTTAGGCTTGGAGCTGATGCATTCAGCTGAGACACAAAAAGGTGTCCTTTAAATACATTATGTCTACAGATGACATACCTCCACCAAAACAGTTTCATTATCTTGCACTATTTACCTTGAAACCAAAGTTTTCTGCAGTGAGGTAACGACCCTCATGATTGATAAGACCAAACTGTAACTTCAAGGGATGGTTTCCGTTAGCAGGCATCTTCACCTTTGGGTATGTTGAGTCCAGAGAGTAAGGAAGGACATGTGACAAGAGTTGGGAGAGAGAAATAAGAAGTTAAAATCTGGGGACATGAGATACAGAAGAAAAAGTCTGACTAAACTAAAGAAAGAGGAGAAGTTTTTAAGCTGTGAAGAATAAGAGAAGCATCAAAGTGAATGGTGAAATGCAAACGCTGTAAAAGCAGGAAATCAATTCATTAAGGTGCAGTACATAAAGCACTCCGAAAACCACAAATTCTTTCCCCCGCCCATGACTTCATTATACATTTTTCCAGCCGCAGCCTCCTAATTTACTTACTGCGGTTTTGTGGCTTCCCCTCTGCAGTTCCTGCGGCTCCAATTCCAGCTCCCAGATTTAAGAGGCTTCTTTCGTCAGGCTCCCTCTTGTAATTCCTTCTCCTTTTTCTTCTTTTCTTGCTGGCTTGTACTTTCTGCTGATCGGGTCTCCGAACTCAGCTCCTCCACCGCTCCTGTTCTCCCTAATCAGGTTAGAGGCAGCAGAGCCTTGAGTCAGCCTTGATCTCTCTTCTGTCCAGTGTCAGCCCCCTCTTTCTCTGTGGACTAATTTTGCTCTGGACTGCTTAGCTCGCCTTGTGAAGCCTATATCCCTCTTTCCCTCGTCTCTCCAGCTGAACAGCTTCACCCCTGCTCTTGCATGACTTGTTATTTACCCCGAAGGCTCAATCATTTGGTTCCCCAAGACTTGACTTCTCTTGGGTGTTGCTGTTCCCCCCTTTGGCTTCTTTGCCTATACTATGTTTGGATCAATCATATCAACTAGCTTTACACTGTGCTTTACCTTTCTGTGTAGCTCAGACTTCTAGATTGTGAAAAGCAAGTTTAAGCAGGGATGGAGAACATCCTCAGAGGCCCTAAAAAACTGGAGGACCGCTTCAATCGTCTAAAAGCATAAGCTGTCTATCACAACTCAAGCCAGCTATGAATGATGCTCTCCTTTGTAATCTTAAGCCGCTCCCTGACGATTTTTCTTCCCATCCTCTTCTTTTCCCTCTCTGCCTTTCTCTAACCTGCAAGGTATCTAATCCTGCCTTTCTCTTTTTCTTCACCTCATTTGGAGCTCTGCTCTTCACCTCTTTCTCCTGCACATAAATAGAAGTGAGTAGAGACAATGCTCATGTATGCTTCCACAGCGCCGGGTAACCAGAGCACTCCTTCTGCCTTTGGGGTACTTGCCTAACTGCGGCTCCCCTTACCTGCCTGTGCTGGGTTTGGTTACACACTGTCTCTGATTGCAAGCTCTCTCCATTCTAATGGGAAGTGTGTCTGAGATGAAGGGGGAGGCAGACTTTACATCTAAATTTAGGAAAGGAGATGCTGGGTATAAAGACAACAACTTAATGATCATGCAAGGTTTTGAATATGTGTGCTTGCTTATGTGTGCATGCGTGTGTGTGTGTGTGTGTGTGTGTGTATGTAATCAGCCTTGCCAATCAGCCTATTATAGGTCGCCTTTGAGGAGTAAACAGACGTGTCTGTTCCTGAATCCATCTAATCCTCAACCCAATCATCCCAACCTGGCTAATCTACTGCAACCACCCTTCCCCAACTCTCAAACACACACACCCCGCCACCCCACACACACGCACACTCCCGCACATCACACATGATGACATTTACTCTGCTTGTCAGTGGAAATGAACGTATACATTGACTCACTGACAGAGTAAAATAGATGTCATCACCAAGCAGAGAGTTGGGCGTCGCGTGGCGCAGTAGGTACAGTGGGTGCCCTGTAGGTAGAAGTGATAGTCCTCGTAGTGGTTGTTCTGGGTTCGATTCCCGACCTCAGTTCCCTTAGCGCATGTCTTCCCCCTCCTGCCTCCTTCTTGTCCAACTACTGTTGGAAAATGGAAAATGACCACTAGCCCTGGCCTCATACAACACAACAGACAACAAAGGTTTACTCCTGAAGAACGAGTATTAAACTTCTGCATAAACTGGAATGGACAATGCATGTCACACAAATGCTGACAATGTAACTCAAAGACTCAATGGCCTACATCATTTTTGCCAAAATTGATTCTTTTTTTTCTTTTTGAAAGAAAATGGTGGTGATTTTCTTTTGTTGTAAAATTACTTTTGGCAAAAATAAACAAAAAAAAGACTCGCGCCATTATTTTAGGAAGGTGACGAAATATTATAGCCATTCACCCTGCACATGATGGCAAAATTATTCCATTCTGTAAATGTTAATAGCTTGGGTTTCCGTGCCTTGTTATTCTGAATATGAGCAGGAATGATGTGTGATTTCATGCTACAGTCTCCAAAAGCTTTCGTTGACTCATAAAAAGTTTAAAGGTTTCTCCCTAGCCACTTTAGTTATTTTTCAAGAGTCATTGTATGTACTTAAACATAGCAACAAAGCTACTGAGTTGATAATACTGGCTAATAAGGACTTGGTCACAAAGTTAATATAGACAGGCCATATCTTTTACAGTCTTATATAGTGAGTATGGGTTACTTGCCGATATTTATTATTTAAAGATTGTTGCTAGCACTGTTAGCTGTGGCTATAAACCTGGGTCAAGGGTTTGAAGTAACTGGGCCCTTTCTGTGTATGCATTTGTTCTCTTTCACTACTCCAGTTTCCCCCCACAATAAAAAAGACTAGTCATGTACATTATGTTAATAAATTCTAAATTGTTGTTTGTGTTGCAATATGTCCTGAGAAACCGTTGGAGTTTGTTATTGTAGAAAATGAATAATTCATTACCAAAAATTACTTATCTAGTTACCATGTAACATGAGTTTTTTTTTTTTTTCAACTGATTTCATGACAGTTTTACTGTCAAACATTACTTATATCAATCCGATTTTTGAGGTGAAAATACCACCCAGTAGTTTGGGTCAAACTGATAACCAGCCCATTGTGTTAAATCAACCCATGGCACGCCCACCAAGTACCCCGGTTTTTGGGGGGCTTGAGTATAAATTAAGACAAAGATAAGGATCATCAAGTGAGCAGATTAGCAAGGCACGTTTGTAGCACCCAACAGTACAAATACTGCAGTATATTTTATATAAGCTAATAAGCTTTGACATCTGTTTGGTCAAATTCACACAAGCGTGTGGTGGGACCGCTTTTCTAGCTATCTGAGTCAGCTAGCTATGCTGCAATGCTTACATTAGCTTGCATGTAAACAGGAGCAGTAACAGGAGATTCTTTTTTTTTCTCCAGAGCAACAGCTAATAACATGTTTTCATCCTTGGACATTAAAACTTTCTTTGTAAAGTTGTAATGTCCAAGTGACATGTGTCAAATTAATTCACTATGCTAATGTCATAGCATTAGCCCTGACACACTGGAAACAGAAGTTACGCACCGTAACTATTCAAGAGTCATTATATGGGTTCCCCAAGACTTGACTTCTCTTGGGTGTTATATATTGTGTGTTTACTTCCAGAAAACACACAATACTTTGATGAGGAGGTGGTTTATTTTTGAACATTTAAAAAGCTAACATCATTTTCTCTTTATGTTTGGGCTACAGGTAATGTGAGCTAAGTGAACATAACTAGTAGCATCACCCAGCTAGTCAGGTTAAGTAAGCTTTATTATTCCCAAGGGGCAGTTTTATTGTACAGATATTTGTGAAAGCATACAAAGACCCACATAAAATACATACAGACGAGTACATATTAGTCTTTACAATGTATACTTGGAATTGACCTGGATAACAACAGCTGGAATAAAATATTCATTATTTTACAATATGGCATTTTGTATCTCAGAAGTAAAAGTTTACTCCTTTGGTGGCAGATGTTTTTTTTTTTTTAATGAACACCTAAGACTCAACATTTCTACATGATTATAACAAGAAAGGTCTATTCTTAATTTATGACTCGCCACATTTCATTCACAAGAACATCATTTTTTCCAATTTAAAAGTCTGAAAATGCTGCTGGAAGACTTGAGCACTAATCACTTCCATAAAGTAGGAAAGGAAAGCATAAAAGTAAATAGCATAACCACAAACCCTGATACTGCAAAAATATAATAAATGAGGAATTTGATATTGCGAAAATACAAAAAGCATAATAAGTAATAATGTTAAATTTATACCCTAACAGCAGTGAGATGAGAATGATTGTAACTGTGAAGATGCAGGGGGATAAAACAGCTGGGTTCAAATTAGTTTTGTGGAGATTTATTAGCGCTAAATAGAAAACAGGACAAAAAAAATGGAACATTAAATCCAGTTGGATCCAGCTTCATTATAAAGCTTACAGTTTTGGACTGGAAAACTGAAAATTATGAAAATTTATGATATAGAAATTCAACAGGCAGGGCCGTGCAGAGACCACAAAAGGGGCAGGTGCTCAAAAAAAAAAAAAAGGGCACATCTAATCTAGGACAGAAT